ATGATAGCTTCGATTGCCTCTGCTCGACCGTTCAGTTTGTCTACAAACTGAGGAAGAACGTAGAATTCGCGAGGCATGGACAACGCCGGCTGGATTGAAATAATTTTGAAATTGGAAATAGTCGATAGCTAGAAAATCAGATGATATTCAGGTGTGATTACCTGTGATATGTAGAGCGCATTTTGAGAGACATTTTTGTAGTCAACAGAAACCCAAGAAGACAGCAATGTTCCGAGAGCATGCGTTTGTTCTATGAAGCCCACCGTACCCCAGATACTGGCAGCGGTTTGATTTAACTGTCCGCCTAGAAATGGAACTCCTCCGAACCTAAACCAGCTGAAGTTCTTTAAGTTCATTATGAAATTTTCCTAAGTATCACCAATTCGTAAGGTCGTCGTAAATTTGCTTTGAGTTGTCCAAAGAGCTTGCGATATTACTGTTGATAACACAAGCGTCTAGTGCCTAAATGCACCAAATGCAGTGAATGCTCAAGTGAGACATTCGTGAATTTGTGAGACTCACCGCTTTTGTAATTCTTTCAGTAACTGACCACTTTTCATCAGTCACATCAACAGCGTTCAAGCTTGCCACTATCTGTTTGTTAACATCCACTTGAGCTTGGTCATATGTTCCAAGCCTACCCAGACCAAGCGCCGTCAAGTTCACTTGGGCAAGAAACTAAATCGTTGCAAGTCACATTGATGTGATTACGGTAAGATAAATTGGTAAAAGATCCTCTCCAATCTCTCGATAATCCCTAATTTTCAACTTTTTTCTTAAGAAGCTTTTAAATTGTCTCTGGAACTTTAGAGAGAAAAGAAAAGTGAGAAAAACTCACTTTGTTGCAAGTGAAAGCGTAGAAGTCTTCGCATGGATCTACACTTTGATCGAGTCCATTTAATAAGTATTGCGCAGCTTGCTGAAAGGAATATTGAGTTCAGTCTGAACTTGCAGATACACAATATTGCTCAAATTTTCTGTGAAAAAGACGTGATCACTTAAAAATTCGCCACAAGCGTCGCACCGTCATAACTTTTTGCAAAATAGATATTTTCCAAAAGGAAAAGCGATGTAAGACTCAACTCGTCCAGAGAATCTTGAAATATACCACACTATGTACAGTAACATCCAAAGTGTGCGGTAGATACGGTAAAAAGTCAATATCAAATCTTTTTTCAACTTTGCGTGAAGAGTTACATGACTAAGATTCGACTGGACGAGCTGAGTCTAACACCGGTTTCCATTTTAGAATTTATCTATTCTGAAAGAAGTTACGACGATGCGCCGCTTGCGACGGATGTGAAATCACGTCTTTTTTAAAAGAAGTTACGGGGGTATTATATCCTTATCAGCATATCTATTTTACTCTT